AAAAAAAATGCTATTAAAATGGAAAAAACACATTTATAATAGCACTTTTTAATCGGGCGCTATTATATAATACAGACTATGTAATTATGATAGCACTTTGTACCAAAACGCTATTATTAAACTTCTTTAAGATAGCACTTTGTATAAAACGCTATTATTTGACTACCTATATAATAGCATTTATTAAAAAGTGCTATCTTATATATAATAATTAATTAATTAATTAATTGATAAAAAAAAAAACAAAATACATTTTCAGATACACTATCTTCCCGCATCCTCCACTCACCGCCAAAACACTATCTTCCTGCATCCTCCACTCACCGCCAAAACACTATCTTCCCGCATCCTCCACTCACCGCATCCACTCACCGCCAAAACAAAACACTATCTTCCCGCATCCACTCACCGCATCCACTCACCGCCAAAAACAAAAACACTATTCTCCCAACTGATTCACCGCCGTCAAATCTTCCTCTGCTTCCTTTGGTTTTCATTGATTCACCGCCGTTAGTCATTGATTTACCACCGTCATCCCTTCCTTCGGTTTTCACCCGGATCCATTCTTCAGCCATCGGATTCACCATCGATTCAGATTCAGATTCACTTCTCAAACGACACTCAAACAGAAGGAGGAAACACCGAAAAGAAAGAACAACCAAATCTCATTCTCCGTCGAACTCAACCCTTTGTCATCTCACCTACATCGTCGTCATCCCTCTCTTCATTTGTATCCGGTAATATTTCTTTTTTCAGTTTCTGCTATCCTTTGTCATTGATTCTCTGTGTTGTTTGTGTGTTGACGATATTCGTGATTTTGAGTAGCTGTAATGAGGGTTCGTGATTTTTTGCCGGTGTAGCTATATAGTCTGTGTACATATTTTAAAGCATAGAGTTCTTTGGTTATTTTGTAATATTCGAGAACTAACAGCTTGATAGAAACCGGTAAGTAACCTAGTGATTTGACCTTGTTAAAGTGGATATACATCCATCCATGATTATGGAAATGTAACCGAGTGTGAAATTTTATACCTGATACAAGCCGCTCTTGCCATTTATGTATATTGCCCTTTCAAACACAGTTTTAGATTTTGGTCTACAAGTGTTGTCAAATTGCTGTCAGTCGCAGGCCTCATTGCCTATTATATCCACCATGTTTTTGATATAAGCCCCGATGCCTCATCACCTATTATATCTACCATGTTCCTGATATTTATATGATGATAACTGTAATTGTGGCTACGACACCAAGGTTTTTGGAATCTCTGCAGCTGCAATTGCGGCTGCATCGACCATTTTTTCCTGCAATTTCAAATATCACAACGCAATTGCATCTACGAATCCGACAACAGTTTAAAACTGCTTTTATGATACCATAGTCAAGTTATGCTGCTTTAACTAATTCTCAAATAGCTTATAGTTTACCATGTTGATATGCTACGCATTGAGTTTCTTTTTTCCTATATACTTGACACTGTTCATAAACTAGGTGTGTTTGTTAGCCTTGAGGAAAATTAGTTTTGGAAAATTATTTGCTAAAATATTGCTTTATGTTTGAGGTGTAAGATTTATTATTTGGATCCGGGTGTGAAGCAAGTTGGCTCAGAGTGCGAAATTGATTGTGGGGACCAGAAGAATTACTAGGTCGAAATACCTATCCCACTGATTTTATTTCCTTAGTGATTTTACTCTAATCCACCATTACTAGGTCGAAATCATCGATTCCGCTAGTTTTATGAATTTCCTCAGGGATTCTAATCTGATCCACCAAATTGCTATCCTAAGTGTGCATGGAATTTGAAATTTGTGTGAAATTTGCTGGATTGCGCTTAGGTAAACTTGCTATTTTGACAACATTGATTGTAATTTGTAACAATCTACCCGTTTGACAGGAATTAGATTTAGGGAGTTGGAATGGGATTAAAGGAGAAGAGAGGAGATCAGGAATTAGATTTAGGGAGTTGGAATGGGATTAAAGGAGAAGAGGGGAGATGTCCAGAGAGAAAGATAACAGAATTGCGAGGTTTGGGAAGCAGAAAGTAAATCCTTCGAAGTGTTTTCAATGTCTGTACATTTTCCTTTCTGTTTTATCATAGATTTCTTATCTGTTCTTGCACAGTCTCTTACCCGAGAACAATATCTTCTTCATATTAACACAGTGGAAAAGAGATCATAGCTGTTTTTCTTAAACAAAAGTGTACTCTTTTTGAGTTTATTTCATTGGTTACCCTCCTTCCCCGTCTTAAGCTTAATTATCTGTAGTCTAGACACTTCTACTTCGACAAATTCCATCAGTAGTTATCCCAAATCTAGCCAGTCTGATCTTTATTGCCAATTTATCCCACACAGCCAACTAAAGCACAAAATTGGCCCTTGGTCTAGCACAATTAGAGAAGAACAATTTGCTCCAGGGGGTAGGTATTTTTGCACCTCTAATTTCCTTGTACATCATAGTTGTTTTATAGTGACCTTTATGCTCAGCTTCTTTCCAATATCAACTTTGACATGCAATCTCTCTAAAGCTCGTGATTTTTTTCAAGATCCATGAACAATTATTGGGTAACTGCCAGTTTAATATTTGTTGCCCTTTGAAGTAATATATGTGCATATACTTTACCCATAATTTGTCTGCTTTGCCTTGAAGGTTCCATAGGAGTCTCATAATAGTGGCCTTGTTCCAGCTTACTAGTTCAGTGAGGTTCAAACCACCTGCATTCTTAGAGTTACATATGGTTTCCCAAGCAATAGGACCCTTTTTGATAATCACTTCCTTGCCACTACAAAGGTAGCTTATGCAAATATATTTAATTTATGTGATGACTTTTTTGGGCATGGGATAGATCTGTATCCAATAGGCACACATAATAGTCAAGACACTCTGATTTAGCTGCTTTCTGCCAGCATAACTTAGTAGGCTAGCAGTCCAGTGTTGGACTCTTTGGAAAATTATGTCAATGAGGGGTTGATAAAGAGCTATGTCCGGTTTCTTGCTATTAAGTGGCACTCCCAAGTATTTGAAGGGGAGGGTACTTGCAGAAAAACCAGTAGCATCCAGAATTTTTTCTTGTTCAGAGTTGCTTACCCCTCCAAAGAACACTTTGCACTTCAGGGGATTTGCTTTCAGGCCAATAGCATGAGAGAATTTCCTTACTTCCTATATTATAAGGTGCACAGGTAATGTATATCCTATTGTGAAGAGGATTATATCATCTGCAAAGCAGATGTTGGTGATGCAGAGTTTGTCACACTTTAGGTGGATGTTGAAATTGGGGTTGCTTTGTAAGTTTCTTAGACATCTATGTAAGTATTCCATTATGAGGATAAAAAGGAGGGGGATATTGGATCTCCTTGTCTAATCCTTCTTTTTTCTTTAAGGATACCACTATGCTGACCATGAATGGAGTATCGGTAAGAGGTAGTGGTGACACATGTCATAACCCAGTTGATGAATAAATGGAGGAAATTCATTTCTCTCCTAATGCTTTCTAGGGCAGGCCATTCTACTGTATCATAGGCTTTCTGGAGGTACACTTGTATGGCACACCTAGGGGACATATACTTGCATTTTTATCTTCTAAGTAATTCTTGGGCCATTAAGATATTATCATGGATAATTCTGCCAGGGACAAAAGCAGATTGTCTAGAATCCACCAAATAACTAATGACCTTGTTGAGCCTAGTGGTGAGGATTTTTTATATTATCATTTACAGGGTTTTACATAAAGCAATAGGCCTCATATCTCTAAGCTTCCTGACATCATTATGCTTAGGGATCAGGGTTACTAATGTGCAGTTTATGGCAGGATAAATTCTATTATTGTCAAATAATTCTCTTACAGTAGCCCTTACATCATCCTTTATTACCTACCATCTGATCTTGAAAAACTTGGCATTGTTACCATCAATACCGGGGGCCTTATTATCCCCAATACTCTTAACACATTGTGCAATGTGTTTTCACCTGTAGAAGACTTTATCATTCAGAATGTGCTGCTGTTGCTGCTGAAAGTTGTGATACTGATGAGGCAAATGAAAATTCAGGTCCTTCTGACATACCACTCGATATTTCTTGGATGAATCCATGTATAGATTTTGCAACAAAAACCCTCTTAGACACTGACCCAGGACTTTGTGAGATGGCATTGCAATTGCCAGTTTAGATCAGAGTTGTCAAAAGCGGCCGTAGCGGCCGCTATAGCGGCGCTCCGTAGCGGAGCAGTGGCCTCCCGCGCGCTAACATGGGGGCGGTAGCGGAGATGGGATAGCGGGCGCTTTTCATGACATAGCGGATCAATACGACTATGATATTTGTGATTATTGTTTAATTTATATGTATTTTTTAAAATTATTATTGATATTGACGTCTAAATATTACTATTATGTATGAAATTTACGTATGTGTCTGAGTTGTGTTTGATGTTTGATGTTTGAATCTGTTTTTCTGTGTCCGGTTCGCACTTCATAGGAAATGACGATATTAGATGAAATTTCAAAAGATTTAATACTAGTGTATTTATAAATAAAAATCTTTGATTAAACAGAAATAAATCTTTATCGTCTTATTCAAAAAAAAATTTAGGATTATGATATCTTCTAGGCATTTATAGAGATTAATTCTTTAAATCATAAATATAATGGTTGAAATAGTTTGTCAGATTAAGTGTGGTAAGATGAAATGGGTGTTCAGAAAACTTACCAAGCTTGATGTAATAAGAACTGACAAAAAGGGTCCCTTTCTTATAATCTTATCTCTGAATAAGTCAAATTGAAGTCAGTGAATCCAATGCATTATACTTACCAGAAAAAACAGTAGTAATTGTTTTGTTGTGATTTTTATTATAATGTTTATATCTATTATATCATCATGCATTGCACTGCCATAAATACTAAATATTCAGAACTTCAATTATCAAAGCAATGTATGTGACAATGTGATATGGTGCTGCACTGCTGCTGCTGCTAGCTGGATGGACTATTGGATTCTGAAAGTTTTCAGAATCATGGTAAAAAATGTTTGAATAAAAGACTCACTAGTCACTACTGTGTCACAAAGCTGGTTCAAGTTTTCTGTACATATGTACCATTTTAGAATCTAACTTCAACATGTATAGGACCCACTTTTACTCAGAAAATTCAGTCATTCTGCACTATTTCATCCACAAGAATTAATATTTGCAATTCAAATATGGCCATTGGATAAATATTTAGTCTAGAATTTGAAAACCCTGCACTTATATTTTTCACGCATTCACACATACAATAGTTAGTATTAGGGTTCGAATTCTAATAATAGCGTTGAATATACCGATATCAGTTTAAATATAGGTAGTTCAACTTCAAAATCTTACTTTAATTTCTCAACAAAAAATTTTTTATCATTTAATTATGTTATATAATTTATTTAAAAATATCAGTATGATTAGACATTTAATATAATTATAATTGGTTAATAATATAAAATTATTTTATGTCATCAGTATATATCATTTATTCTTTTTTATGAAGGTATAAATGATATATAGTGAAAGCAACATATGAAAGTTATATCTGAGTCCACTAAAATAGAAACAAGAAAGAAGTAAACAACAAAGATGTACTGTATCCAAGACAGGTTGTGGACCATTTAACCACTTAAACAACAGCATAGTACACAACTTAGTTAGATTCTTCACTTTCAAAAATCTATCACTAGATTCATTTCTCTTCTGACTTATCAAATTACATTTTTACCTTAGAGACTTTACATTATGTGACCATATGATTAATAATAGTAATCTTGCTACATTTCTTAACCTTAAGAAGATTATGTCAATTTAAAAGTAGAGTTTCAAATGTGAAATGATCCAAGATGGAACATAATTTGGTTGTTAGAACCAATTTTTAACTAGTTATATATGTTACTTGTTAGGAAATATGGATCGAAAATGGATGTTTGCCAATCGAGCGTCAAAAGAATATGAAGATGGAGTTCGTGAGTTCGTTAGGTTTGCTATTGCTCATGCTGAAGACACTAGTAAAATCATATGCCCTTGCTTAGAATGTTGTTATACGGATGTTAGTGCAAATGTTTTGGAAGATCACTTAATATGTAATGGAATTGATAAAAGCTACACATGCTGGATAATGCACGGGGAAAAAAAAACCAAGTCCACAAAAAGGAGCGATGGGAGAGATTCATCAAATGATTTTGAAAAAGATACGAATTATGCGTTTGATCGAGTTGAAGAATTTGTCAATGTAATTGAGGAAGATCTTCGTGATTGTCCTCAAATGTTTGAGCGGATAGTAAGTGATGCAGAGACTCCGTTGTATGATGGATGTACTAAATTCACAAGACTGTCAACGGTCTTAAAGTTGTATAACTTAAAAGCACGCCATGGATGGTCCGATAGGAGCTTCACAGACTTGTTAACTCTGTTAAAGGATATTTTGCCTGAGAACAACGTGCTCCCTAGTCGAACGTATGAGTCTAAACAATTGTTATGTTCTATTGGCATGAGTTACGAGAAGATACATGCTTGTCCAAATGATTGCATTTTATTTCGCAAGGAGTATGCATCGTTGAATATGTGTCCTAAATGTAGTGCCCCACGCTATAAGAAGAAAGAAACAGCTCCAGCCAAAACGCTATGGTATTTTCCGATAATACCAAGATTTAGGCGCATGTATCATAATGCAGAAGACGCAAAGAACTTAACATGGCATGCAAATGAAAGGGTTGTTGATGGAATGCTCCGACATCCCGCAGATTCTCCTCAATGGGCAAAAATTGATCATGATTACCCAAATTTTGGGAAGGAAGAAAGAAACCTACGTCTTGCATTGTCTACTGACGGAATAAATCCTCATGGTATTCAAAGTAGTAAACTTACTTCTTGGCCAGTCATTTTGTTGATTTATAACCTACCTCCATGGCTATGTATGAAGCGCAAATACACGATGTTGAGTATGTTAATTTCTGGGCCCAAGCAACCAGGAAATGATATAGATGTATACTTGGCTCCATTAATTGAAGATTTAAAGCATATGTGGGAGACAGGTGTGGAGGTATATGATGAGTATAAAAAAGAATCCTTCAACTTGAGGGCTATGTTATTTGGAACAATCAATGATTTTCCTGCCTATGGGAATCTATCAGGCTACAGTGTCAAAGGAAAATTTGCATGCCCCATATGTGAAGATGGTACACATTCAATACGATTGGAGTATTGTATGAAGAATGTATTTCTTGGACACCGTAGATTTTTAAATACCAACCATCATTTTCGAAAATGGAGAAAAGCTTTTAACGGTGAATCAGAAGAAAATAGAGCTCCTTTGGCTTTGACGGGTGATCAATTATACCAAAAGGTAAAGCTTTTGAGCACTAATTTTGGAAAGCCATTTTCAAGTGAACTTGTAAAGGGAGGATGGAAAAAAAAGTCAATTTTCTTTGAATTGCCGTATTGGAAGTCATTGTATGTTAGACATTTCCTTGATGTGATGCATATAGAAAAAAATGTGTTTGAAAGTGTCGTTGGTACATTACTCAATCTTCCAGGAAAGTCTAAGGATGGCATTAATGCAAGGTTAGACCTGCAAAGTATGGGATTAAGAAATGAGTTACAGCCGGTTAAGAGGGATGGGAAGCGTACATTTCTACCTCCAGCAGCTCATACTCTGTCAAGAAAAGAGAAAAAGATCTTGTGTAAGGTTCTTCACAATGTTAAAGTTCCAGAGGGCTACTCATCAAACATTAAGAGTTTGGTATCTATGAAAGATCTCAAATTGAAGGGTTTAAAGTCTCACGATTGTCATGTTTTAATGGAGAACTTTCTTCCAGTGGCTATACGTTCCATTTTACCTGAAAATGTGCGATGGACCATAACTAAACTTTGTTTTTTCTTCAAAGCTATTTGTAGCAAAGTTATTGACCCTGAGAAGTTACCGACGTTACAAAAGGAAATTGTTGTCACATTATGTGAGCTTGAGATGTATTTTCCACCCTCATTTTTTGACATAATGGTTCATCTTACAGTCCATCTTATAATGGAAACACAATATTGTGGACCAGCTTATATGAGGTGGATGTACCCGATTGAGCGTTACATGAAGATAATAAAAGGGTACGTGAAGAATCGAAGTCGACCAGATGGTTGTATTGTTGAACGATATTTAGTTGAAGAATCCATTGAGTTTTGTACTGAATACCTCTCTAATATTGAGCCCATAGGGATTCCAATGTCACGACACTCTGGAAAAACAACAGGGGAAGGGATTGGTGCAAGTAAACTAGTAACCATGTCAGACATCGAATTGGAGCAATCACACTTGTATGTTCTACACAATGCTGATGAGGTTGAGCCATATGTTGAAAAGCACAAAGAAATACTTCAAAGTTTGAACCCTAATAAGAGTGAAAATTGGTTAACAAGAGAACACAATCGAAGTTTTATACTGTGGCTAAAAGAACACATTTTTTCAGAATTTGCTAAAAATCCTGATTCAATTTCAGAAAGATTGAGATGGCTAGCAAATGGTCCAAATTCAAATGTTCTATCGTACTCTGGTTATATAATTAACAAGTATACATTTTATACAGAAGAACATGATCATCAAAGCACTGTGCAAAATAGCGGTGTCACACTCGTAGCTGAATCTGTGCATATCTCAAGTTCCAAAAATAGAAATCCCGCATTTTCCAAATTGTCATATTTTGGGGTCATTGAACGTAACATATCAAGGTTAATATCGAAGTTGCTATTGTGCCAAATGCCCCATTGCCTATATCTGTTGAAGATGGAGATGTATCCATGGTTGGTCAAGCAATAGGAACAATTGTGCCATGGCCAACGAAACTTCTTGAATTTGTTGCTGAATGTGAAAAGGTAAATTACTTATAATCAAGTTGCTTGATCGCTACTTGTTTTATTATTTGATCACTAATATTAATTAATACAACTTTTTAGATTCCTGGTCAATCCCAAAACAAAGGTAACAATATTCAACACAGTGTTGAATATTCAGTTTCATCACCCAACAAAAGTAACAAAAAATTCAAAATCGAAGAGTCTCCTAGAGTTGGCGGTTCAGCTGGTATTGCAAATTTACCTTTCCTTGATATGTATGTGAAAAAGATGATGAGGGTTGGATCATTAATTCAAATAAAAATGGAGGAAAGTATATTTGGTGAGGAGTTTTTAGAGCAACTACGTGTAGAGAGTATAAAGGAGATTCTTGATCACAATTGGTTAAGTGCATCTATTATCATTGTATTTTCCAGGTACCTCTATTATTACAAATATTCTCTTATTTGACAAATATATTATTAATATTAATGTTATTTGTATTGTTGACTAATATTCACTTTGGTGACAAATATATTAATATCAATTGTTGTTCATTTCTAGGTATTTGTATGACAAGTTTATTAGTCCAAATGGATTAATAAATAAGTTCTCTTTCATATCTCCACATGTATCACGGGAGGATAATCTAGGAAATGGTATAGCAAAAATACTTTTGAAAGATGAGGAGTTCAAGGATAAGATGATTCTTGCACCTTGTAATCTAGGGTGAGATTTATATTCAAAAAGTTATTAAATTAACGAGAAAAAACTCTAATGAATGTGAATCTATAATGCAATATTTAAATGTTGGGTGCAGGAAACATTGGGTGTTGCTTGTCATCAATCTCAATGCTGAGGTGATATATTACATGGATCCGTTGAATGGTGAGCCAACAAAACATCAAAATTTTAAAACAAAGTTTGAGAAGTGAGTATAGACTCTTTTAATTTAAAATTTATGTACGTATTATTATTTATATAATTACTCATTTGAAGTTAATTTCATTTTGTTAGCGCTTTGCAAATTTATCGTGCTAATAGTAGTTCTAAAGTGCCTAAAGTGTCAAAGTCAAAGAAAATCTCATGGCAAAAAATAAAGGTATGTGTCTAAATTAATGTTATTTTAAAACAATTATGTGGAGTAAAATTAATCGATATAAATTTTTTTTTTGTAGTGTCCTCGTCAAATTAATGGCGTTGATTGTGGATACTTTGTAATGCGATTTATGAAAGAGGTCATCATGGAAAATGAATTTATGATCCCCACAAATGTACGTGATTTTAATTATTATTATTATTCTTTTGTAAATTAAATTAATATAATTTAATTCTAACACGATTAATTGTTGATGTTTTCATATTTGAAGTACTTTTTTGACCACAAATGTCGTACCTACTCTCATGATAAGTTAACTGAGGTTAAGGAGGATTGGGCTACTTATGTGGTGGATGATGTTTTCGGTGAGTTTTTCCTTGACTTGATACTTGATAAACAAGACAAATATTACTCATGGATTTAGAGTTCAAATGTTTTGACTTAGATGTTTAATTTTAATTTTTAAGTTGGATTTAGAGTTGTCGTATAAATGATTTTAGTATTTTATTGGTTTAGAAGATATGACACAGAGGTACTGAGTGTTCTTTCTTGGTCTCGAATTTAAATTTTGAAATAGGAAAATACGAAAAATGACTTATATCTTATTGTATGATTGATTTATAGTTTTCCGTTTCTACTTGAAATTTTTAGATATTCGTAGTAACAATTGTAAGGTGTTTGATATCTAGTTCTGGATCATGAAAAGAAAGTTACACACAATTAAGTGTTTATGTATATTTTGAGAATTTGAATTATATTCTGTTTAGTGTTTATATGCATCTAATAATGGAAATTGTGGTCTATATATTTACAAGTCATGTTCTTGTTAGACTTAATTAGTTCAATTATTGCATTAGTTATATCGATTTATTGTTATTAGTTTATAATAATCATTCCTTATTTTATGCGCTTCTTGTTAGACCCATATTAAATGTTTGATTATTCTTTATATGTTGAATTAGTTTTTATTGTACAATACATAATCAATATTCCTTCTATGATACAGGAAAACAAGAAGCAATTATTTTGCCTAATTAGTGATTGTATCTATGAGTTCAACGCTTTTGGATCATGAAGGTGGTTACTACATGGGATTGTTTTGTTATCCTTTCTTATTTTTTTGGTGTTTTGTTTAGAGAATTTGATTGTATGTTTTTGGATTTGGATTGAAGTACTCATAGATGGGCATCTACAAATTTGGCTATGCAAACGCCCTCTTAATATTCTATATGTTATGATATTTGGAATACAATATTAGAATTTGGTAATTTAAAATGTTATTTGGTATTTGATGGATCATAATATATATGCAATGAGTAACTTAAAGCGTTATTTGTGTTGAATTGAATATAGTTATTTTATATTTACACCAAAAAAAATGATTGTGTAAGAAAAAATATTGTACTGTACTTATTAAAAATATTGTACCAAATATGTACCATTTATTAGCACTTTATTTGAAAGCGCTATCAAACATATGTTATATATTAGCGCTTTTTGTTTAAAGTGCTATAAAAAAACAAACAAAAAACATGCAAAATACTGACTTTGATAGCACTTTAATTAAAACGCTATTATAAATTGGTACTTTAATAGCGCTTTTAAAGTGCTATTAAATAAGAAATATTTACAATAGTGGCGCGGTTAATAGCACTTTTAAGCGCTATCAAAAACAAAAAAAAGCGCTATTAAATAGCTTATTTGGCGTAGTGAATATAACAATAGTATTTGTTTATTTTTGCATCAAATAATCTTAAATTTCTTCTCATTTTTGCTTCTTGTATACGTAAATATTAAGATAAAACTTGTTTGAATAATAATTCTCATTTTTTTAACAAACATATCTCTATATTGTGTATTATTATTATTTTGTTTCTTATAATAAAAACTTGATTAAATGTGAGTTTCATCATATTTTGAATAAATTTTTTAATATATATAACTCAAATTTATTTTTTATTTAATTATTATTTATTATTTTGTTTGCATGATTCATTAGAATATGAATGATTTTTTTTAAAGATTTGAGTATTTTAAAGACACACACTAATATGTTTTGTCTTCTCTATTGATCTTCATATTGTTTGTATATATTTTAAAGTGATGTTATATCACACTACATATTATATTCACAGACACACACTTTTCAAACTTTTAAAGAAACTAGAATTTACTATGAATTTTGCAAAATTAGAGATAATGACTCTTAGTAATTGTGTCATCTTAGGTGAAATGAATTCAAGATGATGTATTATTTAAATTTTAAAAATTTATTTTAAAAATCCTTTTTTTAAAAAAATATTTTTTTTGAAGAATTATATTGTATATAAAGTTGTATTAGTAGTGGTCTTGAGCAATGTCAGGATGGACGACTTCTCAAAACTCTATAATCGTGCATTTACACGAGTTTTTAATTTTAATTTCTTAGATTGTGAAATGTTTAAAAAAGAAAGCCAAAACCTTTAACTAATGTTACCCAATTTTTGAGCAAATATATTTATTTATCAATTTTAATTTATTCAACACTTACTAGATGTCATAAAAGTTACTGCTTGTTATGTTCTAGAGAAACTAACTACTTATAACTCTTATAACTCTTACAAGTAGTAAAATTATAGTAACTAAACTTATTATAGAAATTGTTACTATATATTATGATGAAAAACACCATAAAAAAGGGACATTCTTTCAGCATAAAGGTGATTTATATCATATCTTTAATTTGATATTGTCATTGTTATACTTTGCACAAAGAGAAACTTAAGAAAGATGATAAATATAATAATAGTATTTATTTATTTTTGCATCAAATAATCTTAGATTTCTTCTCATTTTTGCTTCTTGTATATGTAAATATTAAGATAAAACTTGTTTGAATAACAATTCTCATTTTTTTAACAAACATATCTCTATATTGTGTATTATTATTATTTTGTTTCTTATAATAAAAACTTGATTAAATGTGAGTTTCATCATATTTTGAATAAATTTTTTAATATATATAACTCAAATTTATTTTTTATTTAATTATTATTTATTATTTTGTTTGCATGATTCATTAGAATATGAATGATTTTTTTTAAAGATTTGAGTATTTTAAAGACACACACTAATATATTTTGTCTTCTCTATTGATCTTCATATTGTTTGTATATATTTTAAAGTGATGTTATATCACACTACATATTATATTCACAGACACACACTTATCAAATTTTTAAAGAAACTAGAATTTACTATGAATTTTGCAAAATCAGAGATAATGACTCTTAATAATTGTGTCATCTTAGGTGAAATGAATTCAAGATGATGTGTTATTTAAATTTTAAAAATTTATTTTAAAAACCCTTTTTAAAAAAAAATATTTTTTTTGAAGAATTATATTGTATATAAAGTTGTATTAGTAGTGGTCTTAAGCAATGTCAGGATGGACGACTTCTCAAAACTCTATAATCGTGCATTTACACGAGTTTTTAATTTTTAATATCTTAGATTGTGAAATGTTTAAAAAAGAAAACCAAAACCTTTAACTAATGTTACCCAATTTTTGAGCAAATATATTTATTTATCAATTTTAATTTATTCAACACTTACAAGATGTCACAAAAAGTGACTGCTTGTTATGTTCTGGAGAAACTAACTACTAATAACTCTTACAAGTAGTAAAATTATAGTAACTAAACTTATTATAGAAATTGGTACTATATATTATGATGAAAAACACCATAAAAAAAGGACACTCTTTCAGCATAAAGGTGATTCATGTCATATCTTTAATTTGATCATGTTTTTATTATACTTTGCACAAAGACAAACTTAAGGAAGATGATAAATATAACAATAGTATTTATTTATTTTTGCATCAAATAATATTATATTTCTTCTTATTTTTGCTTCTCATATATGTAAATATTAAGATAAAACTTGTTTGAATAACAATTCTCATTTTTCTAACAAACATATCTTTATATTGTGTATTATTATTATTTTTTTTCTTAGAATAAAAACATGATTAAATGTGAGTTTCATCATATTTTAAGTAAATTTTTTAATATATATAACTCAAATTTATTTTTTTATTTAATTATTATTTATTATTTTGTTTGCATGAATCATTAGAATATAAATGATTTTTTTTAAAGATCTGAGTATTTTAAAGACACACACTAATATGTTTTGTCTTCTCTATTGATATTCATATTGTTTATATATATATTAAAGTGATGTTATTTCACATTACATATTATATTCACAGACACACAATTATCAAACTTTTAAAGCTAGAATTTACTTTAAATTTTGCAAAATTAGAGATAATGACTCTTAGTAATTGTGTCATCTTAGGTGAATAGAATTCAAGATGATGTGTTATTTAAATTTTAAAAATTTATTTTAAAAATCTTATTTTAAAAAAAAAAAAAATTTTAAAGAATTATATTGTATATAAAGTTGTTTAAGTAGTGGTGTTGAGCAATGTCAGGATGGACAATGTCTCAAAACTGTATAATCGTGCATTTACATGAGTTTTTAATTTTAATTTCTTACATTGAAATGTTTAAAAAAGAAAGCCAAAACCTTTAACTAATGTTACCCAATTTTTGAGCAAATATATTTATTTATCAATTTTAATTTATTCAACACTTACAAGATGTCACAAAAAGTGACTGCTTGTTATGTTCTGGAGAAACTAACTACTAATAACTCTTACAAGTAGTAAAATTATAGTAACTAAACTTATTATAGAAATTGGTACTATATATTATGATGAAAAACACCATAAAAAAAGGACACTCTTTCAGCATAAAAGTGATTCATGTCATATCTTTAATTTGATCATGTTATTATTATACTTTGCACAAAGAGAAACTTAAGGAAGATGATAAATATAACAATAGTATTTATTTATTTTTGCATCAAATAATATTATATTTCTTCTTATTTTTGCTTCTTTTATATGTAAATATTAAGATAAAACTTGTTTGAATAATAATTCTCATTTTTTTAACAAACATATCTCTATATTGTGTATTATTATTATTTTGTTTCTTATAATAAAAACTTGATTAAATGTGAGTTTCATCATATTTTGAATAAATTTTTTAATATATATAACTCAAATTTATTTTTTATTTAATTATTATTTATTATTTTGTTTGCATGATTCATTAGAATATGAATGATTTTTTTTTAAAGATTTGAGTATTTTAAAGACACACACTAATATGTTTTGTCTTCTCTATTGATCTTCATATTGTTTGTATATATTTTAAAGTGATGTTATATCACACTATATATTATATTCATAGACACACACTTATCAAACTTTTAAAGAAACTAGAATTTACTATGAATTTTGCAAAATCAGAGATAACGACTCTTAGTAATTGTGTCATCTTAGGTGAAATGAATTCAAGATGATGTGTTATTTAAATTTTAAAAATTTATTTTAAAAATCCTTTTTTAAAAAAATTATTTTTTTTGAAGAATTATATTGTATATAAAGTTGTATTAGTAGTGGTCTTGAGCAATGTCAGGATGGAGGACTTCTCAAAACTCTATAATCGTGAATTTACACGAGTTTTTAATTTTAATTTCTTAGATTGTGAAATGTTTAAAAAATAAAGCTTTAACCTTTAGCTAATGTTACCCAATTTTTGAGCAAATATATTTATTTATCAATTTTAATTTATTCAACACTTACAAGATGTCACAAAAAGTGACTGTTTGTTATGTTCTGGAGAAACTAACTACTAATAACTCTTACAAGTAGTAAAATTATAGTAACTAAACTTATTATAGAAATTGATACTATATATTATGATGAAAAACACCATAAAAAAAGGACACTCTTTCAGCATAAAGGTGATTCATGTCGTATCTTTAATTTGATCATGTTATTGTTATACTTTGCACAAAGAGAAACTTAAGAAGATGATAAATATAACAATAGTATTTATTTATTTTTGCATCAAATAATCTTATATTTCTTCTTATTTTTGCTTCTCATATATGTAAATATTATGATAAAACTTGTTTGA